GGGCAACGCTGACTGCGAGGGCTGCAGCCGGGGTCACCTCGGCCTTCGCAGCGTGCCCTGCACCGCCGGCTGGGCCCAGTGCGGGCTGACGGGAAAGACAGTGCTGGCTGTTAAAAGTAGCCTATTGCCTGAACAATAGCCTCACCGCGATGCTTTAGGAAAGCTCAAACCTCTTTTTCACATAAAATAAGAGAGCATTTATTGGGTAAATCAAGTCAATGTATTACCAAAAATAAACTGAATGCATTTAAAGCCCAGGGAGCAAATCCTCGTTCACAGCCCATCCCTAGCGCCGTGCACGGACGAGCTCTGTGCTCCCGGGTCCGCTGGGGCAGGTGCCCGCTGGGCCGGGACTCCGGACTCGGTGAGGGAAGCGCGTGGAGGGAGGCAGCGCCCCCGTGACGTGCCGGGAGGGATGGGAATAGCTGACGCAGCCAGGAGGAGTAATAGTGGTTGAGAAACATCATAATTACTGAAGAATAATAAACATTGATTTTAGAAATGCATATTTGCATCTAGTTTTATTGTAAACATTTCGCCTGGGTTTTTTTTCCTTATCTTAGGCCAGCAAACTTTTCAACAAGCCCAACAAACGATGAGATCAAACAGGTCCAATTTGAGGGAAGAGATCCGCTTGACAACAATTTCTGATTTGTGAGGTCTCATCTGCCCTCAGTGAATACCCCAAGGACTACATTTTTGTGTTGCAGATCCTCATACGATAAATGAAGCCAATCAAATATCTGCTATAGATTTATGCACTTTTTTTGAAAAAACAGACCCTCAGTACCCACTGAACAATTTCCGTAGGCAACATATGGAAGTCTAAGCTAAAACGGCATTATTTCTCATCAGTTAAGTATTGCAGAGAAATCTTATAACCTACCATAGGAAAATAGAAACTTGGCCATAAATTACCCTGTCTAGGCTCGCAACCTCAGCATGAAGAACACGTGAGCAGTCTCTCAGCTCATCAGAGTCTCAGAGGTAATATGCAAGTTAAGGACGCATTAACATTACTTGTGAATATAAAATGTAATAAGTTAATGCTTTGGGAAAAAATACTGTTTCCCCTGTTTGCCTCAGCCTCTTGAAGCCCCTGTCTTGTGTGCCACCAGTGGCAGCCTGCAGAGTATCCCACATCATTGCTTCACCTCAGCTAATTAGAGTTTACCTTCTGCAGATTACATCATGGGATTAATATTAAGCAACAGAAGTCCTGCTCACCACCAGCCTGATCCTGAAAAGTGCTGAGCATCGTACAGGGGAATTTGAGTTCAGCACTTCCTCATAAGTAGGCTAAAAACTTAATAACTTCTGTTTATAATAATAAATAATTGTACATTTTTTATAGCTCCAGGTTTGGGAAGGGTTTTCAATTTCTTCCCATAAATCAGACCCCAAAGGAATCATTGTGTCCACTAAAGCAGATGCAAGAATCGGCAGAATCTTCAGGAAATGCTTGTGACACTGCAGGACAAGTACGAAGTTAGCTACAACAGACAGTGTCGTTTTAGAGCCCTCAGCAAATTCAAACCTCGGGGAGGCACCGCTCTGCTGCTGTACAGACAGACCCTACACCCCGACACCTTACCGGCGTGCCCAAACTGTGCCTACTTCTGCAGCTTTTACTGGTGCTACTGGAGTGCCTGGTGGGTCAGGACCAGCAGTGCTGGGCACCAAACACCTAACAGGCAGCACCGGCAAAATTCGGCTGAGTTCCAGGTGGCAGAGACATTTACACAGGTGCTGAACTGCGAGTGCTGATCACGTCCTCTGTGCCGGGGGGATGTCGCCCTGCAGACCCTGGGGGCTGCCCCGATTCAAGTTAGACAGGCGTGTGTAGCAGCCAAGGGGGACAGTCGGTAGCGGAGGTACAGTATTCACGTTTATGGTGAGATATGTATAGCGTGCCTTTTCCATCTTGTAAAAACTTGTCGTGATAGTGGGGCTGCTTGAAGGTTCAATAAGTTTTCAACAAAGCATTGCTGGGTGCTGGTAGCCTGCTGCAGGGATGGTGGTCCCGATCAGGCAGCACAGATCTGGCAGGGCTGCAGGCCGCTCTCGTTGCAAGCCGGACACCGGAGAGCCCTGTAGGACTCTCTGAATCTGTTTGCCAGCATCGAAAACTTGCTTCCATGGCACAGTGAGCAAGGAGCAGAGCCTGACCCTTTACACTGGGAACAGCCGTGTTGAGCATCTCCTTCCTGAAAGAGACAATCATGAAACAAATGTTAGTGGCTATCAGACACCAAAGTCAGTAACATTCTTGAAATTCTGTCTTCCGGTCTTTTAAGTAACTGTTGCTCCTGACATGCCACTTGGCCAATAATATTCAGTTCCCTACAGCAAGATCTTCAAGAAAAAGGTTCCCGTATATTTGGGGATACTTCTAGAAAATGAGAAGTTAATGTGACTGGGATTCTAACACAATACTTTCAGATTCATCTTTCTCCTCCTCCAAGGGTCTGCACAGCTCCACCCCTCTTCCTGTCGTTTCTTAACACATCCACCTTCTCAGCCCTGTATCCTCAGGTCTGAGCCATGCTTCGTTACTTCAAGTACTTCTCTTCGCCCTGTCCCCGCCCCAAATCCCTCATCCCAGCTTCTTTCAAGCTGTCCCTTGTGCCTGCAACTCTCTCCCAGGGTGCAGGCAGCCTCTTTCAAGTCCCACCTTAAAATTCAGTGCTTCCACAAAGCCCAGAAATGATTAAATATCTGCAACAGGAAGAATGTAGCACGGCGTAGGTTCATTCTTTTGATGTCACGTTCAGAGCCCTGCATCATTCCTCCGCAGCAGTTCTACTTTACATGGCACTATAGAATGAGGTTTTAACTGCGATATGGGGAGCTGCTGCCAGGTATGCTTCATATTGGTGGCTGCTTATGAATTTGGTACTCCAAATGAATGGACTTCTCAGAAGAATAACCTTCCTGTGGTTTCGTCATCTTTAAATAAATGTTCATAATACCAGTGTATAGAAATTCCAAAATTACTCTACAAAAATCATAGGTTTAGGGCCTTTGAGTTTTACTTTTTGTTCCCAAGCATCAAGGAGAGCAGAAGTACTTTGCTGAGTTCCTCCAAGGCCAACACAGTTCTCTGGAACAGTGCCTTCCAGGAGCTGCCATCCATCTCCACAGCGTGCTCCCCCCACGAGGGCGACTGGAGGACGGCCGTCAGTGACCTGCTGGGGGTCCTTGTCCACATAGATTCCCCCAAAGGCCAGAAGTGGTTGGTTGATGGCTCAGATAGGTGTCTGCCAGTAGATGGGATGAATCTGGGCTTTTATGTTAAAGCCCTCTTTCTGAAAATCAAGTTTATTTCAAAACTGACAAAGCCCCAACTTCCTACTTAGTTTCTCAGGGCTGTTTTCAGTTTTGATAGGGTCTCTGTGCAAGTGAGCCATAAGCCAGGCTCGTGGCCGCAGAAGGACCAAGGTGACCTCAGCACAGGTCAGTCTCAGACCTGCAAAACTGTAACGCTTCGTATTGCCCCCGCGTGACAACATTACATTTCGCGGGATCAAATTATGGTCAGACTAATTGGGATTCTGACCAACAAAGACTAACCCGTGAGAAAACACAGGGAAGGCACAATCTTACTTCAGCTGATATTACAGTGTTAGCCTCCGGCAGTCTCAGCCACAGAGCAGCTGTGTTTAGCCTTGCCAGGCTGGAGAAACCCCGGCCTGCTCTTATTCCACTGGGACACGGTGACGGAGGATGGACCCAAGCCAAGCTACGGGAACGTCAGTGGTCTCCAGGGGAAGAATCAAGTGGGAGACACGAGCATCTGGAACCAGAACAGCTGTCCCCAGAGTGCACACTGCACTGCAGCCCTGGTTGGTTATCTCCCGAGTGGAAAGAGGAACAAAGTGATGCTTTTAATCCAAATGTAGTGAAGTGCCAGACACAGACACAGATGGGGCTTGGGTGGCAATACTCAGTGGTCTGACCAGGGCTGTAAGACCCAAAAGCCTTAGGGGGAAAAAAAGCACTTTCCGTTTTCTCTTACCTGCATATACTGGTTGCAGACAACCTTTTTTCCCCCATCTTTTTTATGTCCACCACCAAACCTTTCTTTCCTTTCCCGGTATATGAAGGCCCAGTCATTTATTCCTTCTGTCTGGATGATTCTCCTCATGAGCTCTTTCTGGTCCATTGGTGCACGGATGATTTTCAGGTTATTAGTGTAGATGACGATCTTGCCAAAATCTAGAATTGGGGAAGCCTGTAGAAGGATCTTATCAGTGTCTCGCCTGTATAAATGTACCCTACAAACAGTGATGATCCCTGGGCTGCCAGAAGAACATCCCCTCCGCCCGGCCATCAGCTCGGCTGGCTCTGCAGCACAAGCCAGGTCCCCAGCACCACCAAGCAGAACGGCGGTGGAGAGGGTGCCTCATGGGCTGCAGGATCAGACCAAGGCTTTGGGTCAGATCTTCGGAGCCTCGGTTTAACGTCACATTCTGGATGGGGAAGGCTTTCTGCGGTGTAAATTCTCATTCCAACCCATGTGCAAGGGAAAAAAGAAGGCACAATTCTAAGAGCAGTGGTGTTGGCACGTATGGAAAAGCAACCTCTGCACTGGAGACTGCTCCACATTTCTTTGGAAATGTGGAGAGGGGTTCTCATGGCTTTGGCCAGAAGTAGAAATTCCCCATGATGGTGACCTATTCTGCAGCTTTTGATGGGGTTTTTCAGATTTAAAAGAAAGCTTTTTTTTTTGTAATTTATTAATGCTGGCAAAAGGGTCAGATGATAAAAAACCTCGTTATCTAATGCTAAATTGTGTTCCTAGCAGGGAGGAGCCAGTCTAAATAACCATCTCCAGGCACACTTGAATTTGTGTTCTTTTCTAACGATTTTAAAGCTAAACTTGGTATGGTCAAACATTCCTCTGAGAGCAGCATTTTGCTTACACTTTGCGCTAGGTATCATGTGGCAGTTACCAGAGCCTATTGTTTTACACTCTTCATGTTTTGCTCTGTTTAAGTATCCATGCCAAGAAGCGACGCGAAAGGAGATGTTCTCCTAAGAAAATACCCTGCCGGGGCCGCACGGGCTGGTGGCCCTCCTGGCAACTGGTGCCTGTGTCTCTATGGGGAGTAGCGGGGAGAGGGAGGTGGGTGAGCCCAAGTCTTTACCACTGCAGAAGGCTTTAAAAGCCTCATATTTGTTACACAGACACGGTGTCTCCAAATACCAAATGCATGTTGACACAAAACAAAACCGGTACTGGATAGCGTGATTACTAGAGGTATTTATGGTTGGGGAAAGTGGGGAATGGAGATGAGCGTAGCCCAAGAATGCAGAACAAATTAACGGTACGGATAAGATCACATTAGTTCTCTGTCTTTGGGCAGGAGAGATTCATCGTGGTTTGGTATTTTCAGTTAAACTACATGTCCAGTGTATCAACTAAATAGAGTTCAACTATCGGCCACCTGGGTTTCCTATACGCAACGTCGATTAGCGCCAAGAATTAACAGACTTTTTATGTATTCAAGTCAAGGCCATAAAAAGTATTTTATACTTTTTAAAGTATTTCAGTCTCTTTAGTCATGTGCCAGAGTGACATCTCTTATTTACCCAAAGACCAGAAGTGATGACGACACAGCGTCCTGAGTGTCACAGTGGTTGGTGCACTTGAGTGACCTCACATTTCTCTGGGGAGATGCAGTTCTTCACCTCCTGGAAGCAGCTGGGTTGCTGCCACCAAGCAGGGCTGCAGGGCTGGGGTGGCGTGCGAGGGGGAGCGGACAACGGGCTGACTTTTTGGTGATGCTAACAGCTCCTTGTTCCGTCTGACCTGGCTTGGAACGAGCCGTCTCACAGGGAAAGCCCTGGTACCGCCTCGGCCAGCTCACCTCACACCATCCTCCTTTTTGTCGCCTTTTCTCTGAGCAGACTCACCTTTAGTCTCACAAGTCTGCTGATTATATCAACGTAACTAACTCCGGTTAGAGTTTGCGTATCTGTGACGTGGCTGTGTCATCAATAGTGCCGACATGCCGCCATTGCTATATGAATGGTTTACTTGGTACATCTAGGTCTGATAAAACCAAAGAGCAGTAAAAGATACATAAATCGAATTCGACATAGTCCTTGTGTATTGATCAATTTAACATATATTACACATGTACTGGCTTTTTATTAGGACTAAAGAGACACTTTTATATCGATGGCACTAATTACACGTTAACAAAGTATCCAGTGAAACTAAGCTGGGATTTTCAAAGTAGCCAAAGAGGACGCGGGTGCCTCGCTCGCGGCTCACTGGCACGCTGCCGGTGGCACTAACCTTTTTGCCAGCTCAAGTCATGCAACTTTAATGTTTTAAATATAACTAATTAAGATAACATCCACCTTACATTTGACTGCTTTAGGATTACTATGTATAGATATTGATATATATGGAAATGTTCTTTCTTATTCTGCAAAATGGACAGATGTAAATCGACTCAGCAAGATGGAGCCCAGCTAGCAGATGCTGTTTGCTCGCTGACTGCGCTGCTGCAAAACACGCGGCTCCTGCCACCTGCAGAGTAAGCAGGATACAGAATTGGGGGGATAAAAGCTGAAGATTTACAGTCACCCTTTTAAAACCCTGGACTGGCAAGACTGAGTTTCATCTGAGTGCAGTTCTAGCCGGAGACTCCTGTTACTCCAAAAATGGTTTATTGTGAAGCTGGTTGCCAGGCAGCTCGCCAGCCCTGGGCTGGACGTTACTTACCCTGCAGTGGCTGTCGCTTGAGGGGCAGTCGCTGAGGAGAGGCGAGTTACTGGTGAGACCGTATTTCTTATCCTCTTTGAATATGCTGATCCGCTGGGCAGTCAGCTTGGTCGGCGAGTAAAACCTGGTTTCTGGCGATTCCTCTGCCCCGCAGAAATGGTCCCCTGGCTCGAAGCTGTGGCGGAGACGACGCCGAGAGTGCTCTTTGGCTGGGGGCTCGAGCTCCTGCCCATCCTCGTAGACTTGTTTTAACACTCGACCGCTGTAAGCTGACGATATTTTGAACCTCACCTTGCGGGGCCTTCCCTCGTGCCGCTGATTGAGTTTCTTCTGGTGCTCTTCCATTATTAGGATTTCAAGCTGCAGGTCCTGCAGATCAACTCCAAGAGCTTTGGGTCCAAAAGAAAACTCTCCCCAGCGTCCCCCAGCCACGCAATGTATAATTCAAGGTTTCTAGTAGTTCCTCTCATCTTACAGCAAAACTGACACCACGGTATTAAATATTGATAGATATTCACAAAGGGAAAATATCAATGGCAGCGAAGCGTAAGGCAGGTTTGCAGACGGTGGACAGGCTGGCTTACCACGAGGGGAAAGGAGTTATCTTGGGATTAAAGGATGGGATTAAATAGGGAACTCTGCCCATGCTCTAAAACCATGGAAATGTTTCTGCTATGTGCTGTGATAAGAACTACCCCAAATACATCATCCCAGCAGCTTTTCACAGTTTTCTGACAAGGTGAGAAGTTAAAAAGACGAGTTCACAGAAAAAGCAATCCAGCTTCACAAATAGCAAGTGTGAATAATTCCTCTTCCCTTCTCGCTCTGAAACCCTGAGAGTACAAAGCTCCATTTCATTTTAATCCAAATATGTTCCTCTACAGGTTGGTGGAGATCTAATTAAGATTTTCTCCCTCTTTAGCTTTCAATCCCTGTTTGTCATTCTCGCTGGCTTTCAGGGCCTTTTGACCGTTCAGGATTTGCTTTTCATTTCTAACGCAGTCACCTCC